TGGTACTCCTATGCTGACCACTACTTTTTTCTTGCCCCCATTTTCATCACTTCTCCGTTACTTTTATCCCATAACCTTATCTCTGTAACCTTACCAGATTTGTGGACAACTGTTAAAATGCATAGCTACTGGTGTGACAACCCTGCTACAAATGGAATAAGTTGCCAACTTCCCCCCTTGTTTGCAGCAGGAGTATTACATGGCTTTATGGATTTACAAGAACAAAAACATTATTTATTGGATCCCATGCCCTCATCAATGGTACCATGAGGGCCTCAGTTGGGCAAACCTAGTTCTTGGTTCCTGGTGGGTTTTTGTGGTGCAAAAACTGGCACATGACATAACAAAACTACATTCTGACCTTGTGTATGTTCACACACACACATATATATTATGGATGTACCGAAATTTCGGCCGCCAAAACATATCGGCTTGAAAATTGCACTTTTGGCAAAGTGCCATCTTTCAGCCGAAATTCCGGTGCATGTCTGGTTTCTCTCCTCTCTGCTGGGTGCTGCTCTGTGTTTCCTCTGATACCGAGCAGCGCCCAGCGGGGAGGAGAGAAATGTTCATGAGCCCAAGCGGTGTGTGGGGGAGGAGAGCACTGTGAGCAGTCTGTCATAGGAAGCTAAGCTCTCCTCCTGGAGGAGACAGCTGTCAGCTGTCATAAGAGGCTGAGTCGGCAGTGAGGGGGAGGAGTCAGCTGTCAAAATAGGCCGAGCTCTCAGCCGGCTCAGCTTCCTGTGACAGCCAATCCAGGATGGAAAGCGGGTACCAATATTCAGCGATCAGTGATGGACATAACATGAGTTACTATGTACCAGTTATGAATGAATAGGAAGTGCTCTACATCAATTCCTTTTCTTCCATGATTGTCTACATAGTAACTCACACTATCTCCACAAGTTATGAATGAGCAGGAACACTCAGTATAGAGGATTCCTGTTCATTTATAACAGGGGATGCAGAAAAAGCGATTAAAAAAAAATTTAAAAGGTTAGAAAAAAAATTTGTTTTGGTTTCGTCTGACATTTTTTTATGTTCGGTTTGGGTTTTTAAATTTAATTTTGGTACCTCTAAGATATAATATATATATAT